AAATTTAATGAACTTTCTTTGAATTTTTTCAAGTCTAGATATATAGAGCTGATAATAAGGTGACCAAATTATACAGCAGTACTCTAATAATGAGCGAACATATGAATTATATAAAATGCAAAAGACACGAAGGCTAGTAAACTCCTGACATTGTCTTAGAACAAATCCCAAGGTTTTATTAATTTTATTGACAATTTTATCAACATGTAGAGTAAAGGCTAATTTTGGATCAAACATTACACCCAAGTCACAAAAATATGCTACTTGTTCTACAACTACATCCGAAATTTTATAGTTGAATTCAGGTACTTTAACAATTTTTTTAGAGAATCTCATAGATTTACATTTGTGTATGTTAAGCTTAAGACTATTATCTGAACACCACATTTTAAACTTATCTAGGTCATTTTGAAGTAAAATACAATCAAAGGGAGAATTGATAGCTCGAAACAATTACAAGTCATCAGCGTATAATAGAAAAAGACTGTTTTGAAATACATATTTTACATCGTTGACATATAATAAGAACAGAATAGGTCCCAAGTGGGAACCTTGCGGAACACCAGAACATGCATCAATTGATTTAGATATCTAATACTATTAAACGAGCAAAGTTTGTATATATATATTTATATATATATATATATATATGTAATGGGTTTCTCGAAAACGGCTCTAACGATTTCGATGAAATTTACAGGTTAGGGGTTTTTTGGGTCAAGAAATCGATTGATCATAGTTTTAACTTCTGAAAATTACAGCTTCATGCATTTTCAGCAATTTTCAGGCAGTGAATTATATTTGTTGCTAGGCAACATCCTATGACACTACACGAACACGAGATTGTTTTATATGAGAAGTTTGGGTGACAGTCTGACAGTACGTTTGACGTACCTTTTTATCTTCAATTGTACGTACCGAAACATACTCCACTGTATAGAGGACGTTGAAATTCACCTCCTGAGGTGAGAAAATTTACCAAAAACTAAACAGTGAGCGGATAAAAGGCACACGAAAGTGTGTTGAATTGAGATTATTTTGTCAAGCATTGATTTCAGAGGTTCCACGGTCAGTGTCAACATGTGATCGTTTTCGGGGATGGGACCGTGTTATTTAAGTTTTTGGGCTCAACGTTTCGCACACTTTCGTAAATGGCATCTTCGGGAGCAGGGTTGAGATTGAGAAATTAGGAATAACACAAAAGAGCACGGTAACTCAGTATGTTAACCACACCAGAGGCGAAACTCTTCTGGCAGTAAGAATGTGGTTGTGACCTTTTTCTAGAGTCGAGAGAGAGAACTAGGAAAAAAAAAACGACAGAGAGAAAACTTGGGTAACAAATGAGATGTCACACAATAATTCCAGTTTTCTGTTCTTTAATCTCTACATGTCACTTATCAGTGTTTAAAACAAAGACTGCTTATGGAATTTCTTTTTTAATGTGTATTTTTAAGTAGCGCGTGTACTTCAAAATGCATACTATACGCATATTTATCTGTCGTAATCTGATCTAATACTACCAAACGAGCCGAGTGAAACTCGGTCAACCAGATATTAGGGCCAATTCTAAATTAAACCCGTTAAAATTTAAAGGTTGTTAAAAAAGAAACAGCCAATCAGATTTACGAATTTAACTCGTTACTATGGAAATTTGCAATTTAACACCCTTTAAATTTAACAACTTTGATTCAGAATTGCCCCTAAAATGCCATTAAATTCAACGTGCGACTTACGATTTGTTAAGTAGCATTCTATCCAGCCAAGCAAAGGATCAAATATCCCAAAATGTTTTAATTTATTCAGCAAATGTTTAATGTTGACTGAATCGAATGCTTTGCTAATATCAGTAAAAATACAATCAACTTCCGATCCCAGTTCATTCATATTAGTAACAAATTCCGTGAAAAGAAATAAATTGGTGGTAGTTGATCTCCCACTGAAAAAACCATGTTGCTCAGTAATAATAGTTTCTTTCACACTAGCAAATAAAATATCTGCAACAATTGCATCAAAGATCTTAGGAATAAATGGTAATTTAGAGACACCGCGATAATTACTAATAATATTTCTTGAGCCACTTTTAAATATTGGCAAGATAAAGGACTTTTTCCAAAAATCTGGAAATACAGATAAAGACAATGATTTATTGAACATTATTTGAAGTGGATTAATCAGAGAAAGCAGACATTTTTTAACAAAGATCGCAGGAACACCATCTGGTCCTGGGTGACTAGAGTTATTAAAAGATTGCACTTTTTTCAAGATATCATCGTAGGTGATATGAATAAAATTTAAATCTAAAGCAGTATCACAGTAATAAGTATCACAGAAATTAACATCGGGATCAGGATGACTAAATACAGATTGAAAATATGATGCAAACAAGTCAGCTATGTCAAATGAAGAATGAGCTTCCACGTCATTATAATACATTGTTTTAGGAAAGCCACTGTTCTGTTTATTGGCTTTTACATAGTTCCAAAACATTTTTGAATTAGATATTATATTATTTTCCACCTTATCAATATATAATTGTCTACAATTGTGAATAGCCTTCTTTACATTCGTATCTTAATTGAGCAAATCTTACGTAATCATAATGTGAATTAGATTTTTTATAATCCTTATGAGCTATTTTCTTCTGTATAATTAAAGATTTAGTAGAATTATCTATCCAACTGGGAAATTTATTATTATTTTGACATTTTTTTAACGGAATGAATGTTTCGATTACATAATTGATTATACTATAGAAAGCACTTACACATTGATTAATATCAAAGAAATTGTTTAAGAAATTCCAGTTTACATTTGATAGGTAATTATCAATTAGTTCATAGGGGGCATTTCCAAAATCACGATAAAAACACGGTTCGTTAGATTTCAAAATAAGAGTATTAATATCACAGATGTTTGCAATCACAGCTGGATGGTATTTATCACATTTCAAAAGAGGTAAGCATTCATTGACCAATGTGGTGTGGTTACAAAAAATTAAATCTAGAGTTACAAAGTTAACATTTTGTACGGAATTGTGTTGTGCCAAGCCGGCAAAAGCCATACCATCGCAGATGATACGTTCAGTGTCACAGCTAACATTCGATGGATACAGTCCTTCCGACATGCTTTCTGTAGATGCTGCATTCCACTTAATATCAGGCAAATTGTAATCACCTACTATGCATAAAATGTGATTAGGATAGCGTGACACAATACAATTAACCAATTCAATATGATCACTATAAAGTTGACGAGCTGATCCTGGTGGAATGTAGCAAGCACCGAGAATTATATTAGTTTTACCAACTACTAGTTTTATCCAAATTTCTTCCCTATTTGATGTGTTAACATCAAGTTCACTGGAACTGTAATGGGACTGTATGGCAATGAGCACTCCACCCCCTCGAGTCTTGATGCTTGTTTGAGATGATCTGTCTTTCCTAAATACACAGTATCTTTTATCAATAAATTCACTATTAAAAATGCCATCACACAGCCACGTTTCAGAAATTACTATTATTGGGTAACACTCACTGAGGATTGAATGGCACAATTCGTTTAGCTTTGTTCTAAGTCGTCGGACATTTTGATAGTAAATCTGTAAACTATCAAGATTCTGTAAACTATCAAGATTTTTGCCCTCACCTGACATTAGGACGTGACCTAATTGTGTGCTTCTGAAGGCTTCCTTACATTTTGAGATGCCTCCCCTTCTTTTTTCTTTAAAAAATAAAATTTCTTAATTATAACACCTTCCGGCCATAACTCTTCTTTGAAAAAATCGTTGTAAATAGTTGGATCAACCGTTACCTTAAAGGAAACACTTTTGGCATTAATTCTTCTAGGCAGTTTGTCCACTAGAAATTCAAAGTTTGGAAATTTAGATCTTAAAAATTCATTAACATCATTTTCCACTGTATTTGGTTGTAAATTGCCAACATAGACAGTACTGAGACGCTTCGCAGCCTTGAGTGACATATTTTGTAAAGTAGCATTCCCTCTAACAATTTTACGTTTATTCCTCCTAGACATTTTTGTTTGAAACCCATCTGCATCAACTAGAACGCTGTTGTTGTAAGATGTTGTGTTTTTGTTATAGATGCTCCCTTGACTCTGTGTTTTTGTCGTTGGCATAATTGGTTCGAGATTAAAATTCGATGAACCATCATCATTATTAATAATTTTCGGAACTTGTAGATAGTTACTATTTGTTTTGAATTGTATTGAATTAGAATTTGACGGGACATCCGAAATCAAGTTGGTGTTTATAGTTCTTTCAGTCGTTGTTTTTTGGGTTTTAATCGGCTGAGTTCGATGACCTCCGTTGCGAAAAGTTTTACTATCACCGTCTAAAAAAAAGTCAGATAAAGCACCAACCTCCTTATCCGATGATTTTATTAAATTCTTCTCTGGCCAGTTATTAAATAATCGTATCATATCGATATTAGTAGACTTCAGATCTGAGAGTTCTTGCTTAAGTTCTTCAATAGTGTTTTGCAACGGAGCAGTAGCTGCAGCAATTGCATCACGTAGAATTCCCGAAAATTTGTTGCTACTTAGAAAGTCAATAATGGCTTGTGACATTGGTTCATCTTCATTTAAAGTTAAGACATCAACTGTATCAACTTGATCATCAACTTGGTGGTGAATACACTGCATTTCATTTTCACTAAGAAAATGAAAACACTTAGATCTTTCATTTTTAGTAAAGGCACAACTACGGTGATACGTTACACCACATTTTACACAACGAATGCACGCATTTGTGACAACTTTCTTGCATCTTTCACACTTTAACTGTAATAAAATTGTCGGATCACTGGTAGGTACGTCCGTATCAGACGTCGCCATGTTTGATTCGGACTTTGATTAATGTATGTATGAAGAAGTGACCTGGTTCAAAATACTTAATAGTAATATCGTTGGGACCCCATTCTGCGTTTACCATTGTTATAAACGCTGAATATAATGTCCAATTTTTATTTTGGGCCGAACAATTATCAGGCCAAAAAAATGAAGGACATTACTTTGGAATCAGCATTTTTTATGATGTTGTAAAATGAAGATGCAACATCGGCTGCTTGTCTTCCGCTTATTGCTTCATGCCATATGAGGCACAAATTTTCCCCATTATGCAAAGGAGCAAATGTTTCATTAAATACTACTAAGCGAGAAACAAAAAAAGAATTTTTGATCGTCATTTTTGGCAAAATAAGCACTTTTTGCATGTCCACAGTATATATATTAATACTTTCAGCCCATTCTGTCGTTTTGTCTTCTACATAAAATTGTCTAGCCAAAGTGTACCTCTCTTTGTGTTTCATATATTTACTGCAGGTTTCACACTCTGACACAGATGAGTTTTCCATATTGCCACAACCTCCAACCTCGGGATTGTGATTTTTGTAAACTGCACATATACCACATTCATCTTGTGAAGGGGTATCAAATCCAATATTCAATCTATTAAAAGTTTGTCAATATCTTTCTAAACTGATTTCTTCGACATTCTGACGAAATTCCTTCCACAACGATGTTATCGTCACTTCTGAACTCATATACCTTCTATGCGGAGCATGTTCAAGTTTATAGTGTGAATACTGGGGGTTATAAGATTCAATATGACATCGTATTTTGTCTTCTATTAAATCTTTTTTTTCTTTTGCTAGTTTTCTTGCACAAGTACCTCTGCCATCTTCTAGCTGAACTTTACCTTCAGCCTTTTTCTTAGATTTGAAATGTTCGGTTATAATCCCGTCCGTTTTAAAACCAAGAGTGTTTAAAAACATAGGCTTACAAACAAGGGTATTCTCCTCACTGGATGATGAACCGATTCGAGGCAAATGGAATTTAAAAGTGCTTGTTCTTTTAGAATTTTCTGTGGTTTTTTGTTTTGTTTTTTCTTGTTTTACGTAAGATTCTAAGAATAAACGGCGTTGCGAGAAATTCATCTTCCAAACAAAATTATGAACATTTTGCCTAACATTTTCTGAAATTTTTGTTCTGCAATTTTTTCGACAAGTTGCCTTACAAGGTGAAAGCAGGGGATGTTTTTGCCTGTTTCTTTGAATCTTCTCGTCTTCATTTCTAATTCGCTTGTCCTTTTTAAATTGTTGTGTAGATTGATCGACAGCCTTGTAAACAATTTCGATAAGTAGATCTCTGACAAAGAACTTATAATCATTAGTTGCTAATAGTTGAACATCAGCTTCACATGGGCCAACATTATTGTTGCAATCATCTTTTTCAAATTCTGTTACAAAATTGCCAGAAAAAATATCGGAATCAACAAGCAGATCTGTCGACTCATTAACGTTAATGTCGTTTTGAGTAAGTATATCAGACAATAAACTACTATTGTTGAAACGTATCAAGCGCGGACGTTTTTCTGGTGCTGGTAAAAAATCTGGATCAGCATCAGAATCATAAAAGGGAGAATCATCATCTACTTCTTCGACAAAGTCACGTTCAGCAGCATTTGGCCTAGTAAGAAAAAATGTAAACACAATTTATTCAAAATGAATTAATTATGTACTACCGTTGCTGCAACAATTGTTCAGCTTGTTCACCAAATAAATTGTTAGATCGATGTTCTTCAGAAATTTTTGAGCCGGCAGCTTGGCCGACGAAGGGATGGAGACTGTTATTATGCCTTTAAAATAAAACAAAGACAAATTTTAGTTAAAAAAAAAGTAAGCCGCCGTGACAGAGTGTCTCAAAACAATGAACATATAACATTTTTATAGATATACTAGCAAACCCGGCGAACTCCGTTTCGCCACCAGATGGCTTCGTTTTTTGTAACATTTCGTTTGGTGATTAAAAGATTAAGAAAAATTATTTTTTTTGTTTTATATTTGAAAACGAAAAATTTTATTTCATTTCACAAGAGTAATGAATTCATTTCGATTACAAAAATGAAGTCTAATTTAGTTAAATTTCTCTAAGTAAAAAATGAAAGTGAATCCAAAGTAAATACTGAATCGAAGCGTTATACGTGTCCGCAAATTATCCGTTTCATTGAAGTGCTCTTTGGTAAACCACTGTTTTTGTTTTTTGGTCTGACGTTAACACAAACAAAGCGGATGGTTTCCCAACTCGTGAACACGCAACGTATAGCTGCCCATGTGAAAAACAATGATTTTCTAAATTTATCCCGCAAACACTAAGCGATTGGCCTTGCGACTTGTTAATTGTCATTGCGAACGCAAGGCGAACCGGAAATTGCAATCGTTTGAAGTCAAACGGAAGATCAGTCGGAATCATTGGTATTCGAGGAATACATACATTTTCACCTGCGCACTTTCCGTTAATAATGGTTGCCTCAATCAAATTCGGCATAAGTCTTTTCACCGCAAGTCGAGTACCGTTGCAAAGTCGCGGTGGATTCAAATTACGCAATATCATAACAACCGAACCAACTTTGAGTTGCAAGTTATGTGGTGGAAATCCTGGTAACTCTAGAGAGTTCAAAAACTCTGTTGGATAATTTACTACATCATCCGGATTTGTTATGGAATCAATTGCTCGTTGACTTAACCAAGCATAATTCTGATAATTCTCACCAATGTTTGGGAAAACATTTTCAATAAGAGCTAATTGAGAGTCTACAAATCGGCAAAAGTCGTTGATAAGAGTAATTAATCCAGTTGTCGCATCAACTGGGACTTTTCCATTTCCAACAGCTAACAATTGTTTGGAAAATTGTGCAGCACCTTGATCATTTTGAAGTTGAACTCTCATATTAGTGGTTGGCGATAATGTTTTTACGTTATTCCACAAAGGTGATGCCTTCAGGCAAGCATTCAATTCATCTGCAGGCGTTCCACGGGGAATTACTGGCAACGTCTGCCTGAAATCGCCTGCCAACAATATCATCAAGCCGCCAAAGATGTTGTTATTTCGCCGAAGATCCTTCAGTGTGAAGTTAAGTGCTTCAAGTGATTTCTTATGTGCCATTGTGCACTCATCCCAAACAATGAGCTTGCATTGCATCAACAATTTTCCCATTGCACTGGATCGGGAAATATTGCATGTTGGAGTATCAATTGTGTTTAAATTGAGTGGCAACTTAAGCGCAGAATGTGCAGTACGACCGCCATCTAGAAGAGTCGCCGCAATTCCAGATGATGCTAACGCCAAAGCTATGTCACATCTTGATCGAATAGTGGCCAAAATCAATGAAATGACAATTGTTTTCCCTGTTCCTCCAGGTGCGTCCAGGAAGAATAGACCACCAGTATTATTGTCCACCGCTTGCATTAATGTTTCGTATACTTGTTTTTGCTGTTCATTCAGCAACGGCACATTATTTCGAACGAATTCCTGCAATGTATCAACATTGTATTGCAGCTCTCGATTTAATTCTTGGTTGAATGCATCGTGCATCGATCGATTTGGCGCAATCATTCCTACTTCAATCAGTAGCTTGTTTGCAATAGTCAAGCATTGATCCTCAATCAGAATCAATCCTTCATTGTAGATTTCATCGGTTATTTGCATGTGGGGATTATTCGTTCGAATGCGCAAGCGATGCAAGATATCTTCACATATGTCGTCTTTGTATTTGTTCCATAACTGAATTGGTTGTGAACGAAAACATGTGGTGATGATAATTGCGAACAGCGTTCGTATTTGGTACGCATTTGATGAAACAACTGAATCCGCAAGTGTTAAATCCCAATGAGAATCGTTCTCCAGCAAACCCAATAGTTGACATGCTTCTCGATATGTTTGAGATTGGTGGCCATTCACAGTTTTCAAATGCGCAAATGATTTTGGTCCACGCACATTTACCAACAGCAGTCGCAAATAAAAACATTCATCATTTCTAGGATGAACAGTATACATGCGACCTAGCGCATCAGTGGAAAACACCTGTGGCCAATCTGGAACTGGGGTTCCTTGTTTGCGACGTTGGAATTTCTTTGTTGATTGATTCCAAGTGTAATACTTGGGCATTTCAACGTACATCAGCGTCGCTGCGAATGGATCTGCTTCACACATTGCAAAGAAGCTAGTCAATGTTATCGATGGTGGTATCTCAGCTCGTTGTGCCGCATTAGCCTCAGTGAAGTAAACTCTTTGTCCATTTTCCAAATGCACTGCTAAATGTACAACTGCGGGATATCTTTCATGAATTTGAAATGACAACAATCGCCACAGTGCTTCATTAGTACTGACGCATCTGCCCATCTGGAAGTTGCTGATTTCGTCATTCGCATTTTCCGACGCAATACCAAACACAGCCATGTCGCTGCCTTTTGTGACGTACTTGCACAAATATTTGACTGATTTGGCCGAATGACAACTCTCAACGTTCGCATGTGTTTCGAAAATTCGTGATAGCAGCGGGCAATATGGTACAATGAATTCATTTCCGATCTCAATCTCTTGATTTTGAACTTTAACTTTGATAGTTCGACCATTATCTTCTTTTGAACGCCGACGATAAACTAGATATCCATCGTTCCCTGTGACTGTTTCAGCAACTAACGGTCGCGGATATCGTTTTGAGCACTTTCCATCAGCCATGCAAGGCGATAATGGATTTAATGCACCGCACGGTCCATGCACCATCTGTGTCGTCACAATGTGGTGTAGATGGGGATCAGTGACTGGATCAGGAATTTCAGCTGATATGATGTCATCCACTTCATTTGAATGTAATTTGTTCAGCAACCAAATTAGGATATGAGCATGCGGTAGTCCACGCTTCTGCCATTCCACCGAGTACATATAACAACGTGTGTCACCAAAAACTCGATACTTAGTAAGCACATCCATCATAACCTTGAGTTTTTGCTGAAATACTCTGGCGATTATGTCATGGCGATCTTGCGGTTTTTGGCCCGGGTCCAACTCACGTTCAATTTCCGTCCACTTCGGATTGCATGTGAACGTAATAAATAAATCCGGAGTTCCATAATTTCGCAGGTACGTCATGGCGTCTTGAGCGTATTCGTGCATGTGGCGTGGGCTTCCGATATAAGATGATGGGAGAATCGTCAGGCGTCCAATATTCTGAACATTACCATCTGATTGAATAGCATCACGCAAGTGTATATAGTCCTCAGATCGTAGCTTTGCCTGATTGAATCGGATGAACGCTAAACGTTCGGTCTCGACTTTGACATACATGTCGACAGCGAATTGCTGGAATAGCCGACGGCACTTCAGAATGACATTCTCCTCATGTGTACGAATCATCATACGATACGCATAGTAATTCATTGCGCTTAGATTTTTGTTCGTTGATACGCCTGAAAATGCAAAATTAAATGGATTGTTAATGGAAACCAATAATAGCAATAATTAGTGTGTGAATATTGTACCTGTAATTGGATCGACCATCTTCAACGTGATGTCGTATCCGTCTTGCCCTTGCCAATAAATGATTGGATATTGTAACGCATCGTACAAACGATGTGTCTCGTTTACACGATGCATGATATTGCTTCTTCGCTGAACGACAATGTCTCGTGATGTAGTTGGATCGCCAACAATAATTGCAGCAACATCATCAACGGTGGGTGCATTGAATCTTCGCACATGTTCACCTGTTGGGGTACGATCCGCTCTTATGACAAATTTGTGCGTATCCGATGGCATTCGTTCCAATGCTGTTTTGAACATATTAACCACAGCGTTATTAGCGTGAAAAAATGCTTGCAACTGTTCAATAATTCGTCTCTTTAACTGTTGTGTTCCCTGTATATTGCACCGCACATTCAGCTGATCCACCATCGACGAAATGAAATATATTTGCATAAATTGATGCGGTTCATCTGGTGTTGGCACCATTGAACCATGCAAATGATATATTTGTCCTTGTATCTGTAATGGCAAACAATCATTTGTTGAAGAATACGGTGTGACTTCTGATCGTGTGATGGTGTAGTGTGTGGTGTATGTCTAGTTGTTATTATGTGTTGCAACTGATTGTGTTGGTGTGATTGATTGGTGTGAGTGATTGGTTGTGTGTGTTGTATCTTTAACCTTGCAAGTCGGCATGAAGCCGCCTTCTCGAATGATATTAGCTCCAAAGGAAGTCATGCGAAAGCAGTTATTGTATTCAAGGATGCGTTGAAGAAAATGGTTGGAATCGGGATCAGTTCCATCGAACAATGGTTTCAGTGGCTGTGGTGGTGTAAGTAATGGATCCAGTTTGACTTTTCCACTTGCGCAACACAATCCAGCCGTTTCTCTGTTGAACTTTAACGCATTGCAATATCGGCATACATTCGTCATTGGTCCAATATCTAAATTGTCATCATCACTGTAGTTCGCAGTGGGATCATATTATCATATTGGAATGCCAAGCGATTGTATGATGCCAATGATCTTCGCGTGCTCACGCGTTGTCTCAATCGGGCATTTTCTCTTATTATATTTTGTCTTTCTTCGCTTAAGTTCTGTGAATACACTTGTTGCTGGCTTGCATGTCTTGTGCGGCGGCCGATGTTCGCACGTCGTCCTCTCGGCATTTTGGACTATCGACAGACTGGTGAATTTAACCTCAAATACACGATCCACATAATTTACACAGTTCAACTTACCACCTTAAGGACAAATGCCTGCTGTTGAAATGGAATAAAAATTTGCACAATACGCGTGATTGATATGATGGTTTCCAATTGAACTGTTAGGAAACGAATAACTTTAAACTCAATTTCACAATTTCACAGTGAACACAATACCGGTTTTAAGTAAGCGTTTGAAAGAACGTGCGCATAATAAATGTCACATGAAATTAACTGAGCAGAGTACAATGAGTAGCTGTCAAACAATGTATCACGCACCGGGGCCTTCTACTTAAAAACGTACTTATTTTCGTGAGGGATACTCACACGCCTTCTATATTTGTTCATAACATTTTCTAGATTACCAAAGAAAAGTCTTACTTCTTCTCTATTAAAAGATGTTATGCAATTGATACAGTTGGGTTCCTCTTCAGAAAATTATAATTATAACCAATCTTTACCTGCCAAACGTTTCGTTTTGTTGAAAGTGTTTGGGATATCATTTGTTTCTGCATAGTCGTAAGCTACTCGGCGCAATTGTTTGGGTGTTAATCCGTAGAACAGTTTTCCCATCATTTTTACGTGATTTGCGATTGACTGCTCTTCTTCCTTAGAAAAAACGGAGTTTCTTCCCAATTTAGGGCCAGACGCAAATTGTTGTTTCTTTAACCGTATTTGTAATGTGCTAAACGGAATATTATACATTTTCGCAGCTTGACGAATTTTGACACCAGCTTGAGTAACGGAATTGATTGCCATCTGTAAACCATCCGCAGTCCATGACGCTTTATTTGTTTTCCGTTTATAAGTGCGCGGCATCTGAAGGATAAAAATCTATCATTAGTTGTATACCCATTACAATTTCATGTGGGGTAATGGTGGTCATTGACCATACCCCACTAGTGACGGTTTGAATAAAATTTTAGGTTAACCCCGTTCGTAATAAATTACAACACAATTTAACAATACGACAGTGTTCTTTACAAGTTGTACTATATCTACAGGAAAATACAAGCCATAACAAGAATTTCCAAAGTCCTTACCTTTCTATAAACGCCAGCGAAAAAATTATAACCACACACAACAAAACATTAAACATAAAACGAGCGGTTAACGCACAGTATGAAACTGCTGTAACTTTAAAAACTAAGTTGGTATAGAACATCCTAGAGGACAGCACCTACACATATTGTGATTTTTAACTCAAGATGTAAAATTAGCAGTGACCACAATTACCCGCTGACCATCATTCCCCCGTGCTCCCCTACATAGGTACGTCTGCACATTACAGAGTAGGTACACTTTTCTGTAAAACAAACTATTTTTCCACACCTAAAGATAAAGCCATACGTCTTTATTTTGCGGAATGTCACGAGCGTCCACGAGAAATGATGTTTTAGAAGCGGTTACCCTCGAAAACTATTGACGGTAAGGCGGCAAGGCGGCATGATTTTGCTAAGCAAATTTGCCGCAAGTGTCCATCCAGCACCAATGCATGGATTATTTTGTGCATTTATTCCTTTTAATTTGTCCTACAGCAATCATCACACTGGATAAAATAATTCAGTTTGAGTTGTTCAGTGATTTCTGAGTGAGAATTGAAAATTCACAACGATTTGAAACAAATACTAGCCGATAGCCCTCCTTTGCCTCCACAAATGCGTCACTCAATAATAGTTTTAAAATGATCTGGGGAGATATTATAAAATAAAAACCAATTTCCTGTGTTAATTCCCTATGTCCAAACTTTTGGATGCGGCACCCTGTATACTGGATTTTGTCTTAGGAAGGACTTAAAACAGATCCTAAATATTACGTAGATGCGGCAAACTCAAAATTAATAATTTTTGTAGATACGGCTTTCGAAAAGGCTAGGACGGCAGCATAATAACTAAAAAAAAAATGTGACATTCATTGTTTTCTCCAATCGCCCTTCACTGGATTTTTAATTATTAGAATTTATTATTTAATTTGCACGAGATTTAAGTTGTTATTTATCATTGAAAAGTTTTTGATTTTATTTTCTTATATACGTCAACAATGACAACAAAAATGGATCGTTGAGTCACGGACTATGGAAATACCTTTTCATGGCTTGACGTTGGTGAAATGTTTTATCTTTTCCTTTCTTTAAACATCACTCGGGTTAACCCACAGGGAGATCTGACTATTCGCCATTTTTTCATCCCGGTTTAGTAAGTTTTTTTAGGAACAATAAGAAGTGGTGAGGACCTTCCAAAAACTGAGAGTTTCGCTTTGAAATTGACAAAATTTCCAGTGATCTTTGTATTTAGGATGTTTGTGATTTTCTGCTTAAAAAAACGCTTATACATGTCCTCTGGAAAAAAAAAACAACCAAAACATTACATACTTTAGTCTAGATTTTTAGCACTAAAACGCGGATAAAGTAGATATTATAGTAAACTAAATATATTTCGAAATTTTGAGTACATTTACTATAAATTTATTCACTTATTTTGGCACTGGATTGCCCACGTTTGGATCTTAACTGTCCACCACATCCGCTGTGACGACCATACTGTTTTTTTAGTGGCTTCTCTGATAATTTCGATGGTCACCTTGGTTGCCCTTTCCGTGGAAATTTTTGTTATAATGACTACTCGGTCCACCTCCAGGTTGGCCGGGATGGGGTTCTTTATTGAAAAGTGCGTTTGCAATAATCATTTGTAGCATAATGTTGTACCGTTCCTATGGAATAAAAAGAAATAAATATTAAATAAACTAGGACGATAAATAAATAAATTTACCATTTTGACTGAGGGAATAAAGCAGACTTCCTTCTCGAATCGGCCTAGCATTTCCTGGATGGCGGCGCCTGCTTTGGAGGGGGTTTTGTATGGGGTCCAGAATGCGGTGTCGTCTACGAAGAGTCTCGACTTGGTCCTGGTGTTTTTTATAATTGGAAAGTCACTGCATTAAATCGAATAGAGATATGGGGAGAGAACGGAGCCTTGTGGGACCCCGGCATTTATTTGGATAGGGTTAGAAAGAGAGTTTTGGACTTTGATTCTGCAGGTTCTATTTGTTAGGAAGGAGTCTATGAGAGGCGTGAAAGACGGGTGGAAGTTGAATTGAGTTTTTGGACTAGTCCGTCGTACCAGACCATATCAAATGCACCCTCTATGTCTAGGAAGACTGCGATCGTGCACTCTAAGGTTGGCGAAGCGGGAGGAATCTGTGTGGAGTTCTAGGATGGGGTTCATGGTGTTTCTTTGGGGGCGAAAGCCGAATTGCTATTGGGCAATGATGTTGTTCTGTTCTAGGAAGTTTTTGAGCCGGGAGTTGAGAATTTGTTCAAAGATTTTGCCGGTCATATTGAGTAGTGAGATTGGGCGGTAAGACAGGAGATGTTGATTTGCAGGTTTGGGTTTGTTTGCGTGGATGGGATTTGCCCGTGGTTCGGTCCCGGGACAGCAAGAGCCGGCATAAATATGCAATTCGGGGGCCTATTCATCGAATGTGAAGTGGAGACGACGACCTGAATGATTGACTCGGGTGATTAACCGGAAAATGTGGTGGAAGGCCTGCTCGATGACAGCTTGGACCTGGTTCTTTTGGAACGGATGGTGGTCCATGAGAACTTTGGTTAAGACGGCAGCTAGTTGTTTGGGGTGGACAGAACTGGGGTCGATGGAGGGGGGTTGATCGTTTGTGACGTCGACGGGGTCGGCAAAATCTTCCGGAGGATCAATTATTATCAGAGGGGACATTGTTGGAGTTTCTTCGGATGCCGTGATTTAGGAATTTAGGGCACTTCCGTGACCCGGCGGGGTGATTTCCATCACAAAAGGGGCATTTGAGGTCAGTTTGTGGACATTTGTTTGGCGGGTCTGTGTTGGGGCAAGTGGGGCAGATTGATTATTGGGGCATTCGTTTGGGGTGTGTCCGTGTTTAAAGCAACGCGTACATTGAATAGGTGTGGGTGGGGGTGTCTTGGAAGGTTCGCACCTGGGGTGGAGTCCGAAAAGTGATGGCTTGGGTTAACAAGGTATCGATGGTATTTGTGTCTGAGCAAATGACACGGATAAGGAGGGTTCAGTCGTTGGTTTTGCGTGATTTGATGCACCACAATTTATGGAAATTGAGGTCAATTGAGAGGAGATGGTTCAGGATGTTTCCCTCCGAGATGTTTCTTTGTTGGAAGTGTGGAAAATTTTTGCTGGGGTTTCAAGGGTGCGATCTCGATGTTTCTCGAGTTTGTGGCTGTTTTCAAGCTGCTCGGAAACGAGGCGGCGAGAACATTTGATGCTATTAGGAGGGCTGTGTTGTTTCGGTTAACTTTGAGCACGTCGATGTTCTTCACGAGTAAAGTGGAAGTGAGAAGGTTGAAAAATGAATTCTGGTTAGAAAAAATGTCCGGGATGTTTTTAATGTGGAATTTAAATTGGGTGGAATTTTGGGAGCTCGGTGACTGTGAGCGGGAGGCTGAAGTTGAGATTGAATTTGCAGTTAAGGGGCTCGACATGTTTGGAGGTGGAGATTTATTTCGGTTATTTTGCACTGACTCACTTGTTCGGTTTTTTGCGGAAGCACTGGAGACGCTTGGGCGAGAGGTCGCAAGCCTTTTTATACATTTTTCGCGTCTTTGCGCATCCCTCTGGGCATCGGATTGGCTGTGACCAGCCGTCACAAAAAATGGGGCATAATTGTATTTTATCTAATGCCTATCGTCCTAAACTAATACCCTGCACAAAATATGTTAACACCTAATTACTTTGTCCTAACTAACCTACTTTCTGCGAGCTGACGACACACAATGACACACAATTCTGCACCAGTTGGCGGGGCCCCGACCGAGGTATTAAAAATAACCACCATCGGCGGGGCGGCCAGACTGGAAACAGCCGCCGCAGCACGCGGACCTATTCTACGCTAATGCAATTTTATTAATTACTCTAAAAAACTTAAATGAAATCCCATACTAACTTAATTAATTGCGAAATCAGGTCTCTTGTCACACTCCCCGACAACAACGCGTAGGTGACTGTTAATGGATAATTTTCCAAATGAGACACGTCAGCATATTTAGCACAGACTCTTCGTAATGAAAATTCACGTCAGCATATTTAGCAGAGACTCTTTGTAATGAAAATTTTTCGTCTTTTGTCAAATGGTCGATGTTAATTAAATTCAAAACTTGATCTACCCTATTCACTGTAATTATTAATCGATCAAACGAACTGAATAGTGAAGTTCGATCGTAATTAGACGATCTGTCCCGCCTGAAATGATCACCTACTGTAATACCCCTATCGTAATCTCGAGTCTCACACGTTTAAAGAAAGTTGAACATTTTCAACTTCCCGCCATCACTTTCAGGTGGCAGCTCTGACTGCCAACGCCATCGAGGTCATTACTTCAAAGCTGGAGAGAACAGGCGATGTCGCAGAAATGATTCGTGAACCTGCGGAAGATTCGGGCGAGGAGGGAGTGATCATTTCAGGCGGGACAGATCGTATAATTACGATCGAACTTCACTATTCAGTTCGTTTGATCGATTAATTATACTCCTGTCCCGCCTTCATAATCACTTACTGTAGACGTTTAAGAAAAGGAAGGCGACATTAACCTAGAACAGCTGCTGCAAACACGCCTTCAGACGACAGTCGTAGAATTGAGCAAAAACGGCTGATTGTTGAGACCAGCCCGCGGTGGCCCGAATGATATCTATGGACACACCTTGGCGCTTCGCGTGCGAAGTAGCCGCATGCCGAACACTATGCGCCCGAAAAACTTTGGTATTAATGCCGCTGTCCTTTAACGTTTGCTATATCCAGCGACTCAGATGTGATGTGATGTGATGACGCGGACTTAAAAGGCTGTTGCAGGGTCAAGAACAGCCTATCTATCTCTGGTGGTCGATGCGCAGCCGTACGGCGAATGTACAACTGGAGAAGCGTGGCCACACAGAGCTCGGGTTTGTCGCAAAAAAAGGGGAAAAAAGTGACGATTGGGGACAACCCTTGCGTGAGGTTTTAATGGGGAGTGCAACGTTGATCGTAGTCCCAGATTCAGAAAACGTTATATGCGGTAGTTGAATCAGCGACAATGTCTGCACTCGATGTGCAGTGACGAGAGCGATGAGCGTAACCAGTTTCAGAGTCAGTTTCCGGATCGATGTATGGTCAGTTGACAGAATGGAACAGAGATGATTCAGGACCGTAGCAGGATACCAGGTAGAAGAGTAGCGTGGAGCAGGAGGTCGGAGGTTATGAACACCCTTAAGAATCTTGAGATGCAGGCATCTTCTCCGAGTCATGTGCGACCAATAAGCCCCAGCGCTGCTCTGGCAGAATTACGAGTTCCGTACGACGCACCTTCGTTGAAGTACGTGGTGAAGAAACAGAGGGCACTGGAGGTGTCAAGTTGGAAGGGGTCCAAATGATGAGCTACACAATGAGTCCATCATTTTCGCAGGGCGCTATCGTACTGCTTCATGGTTGACTCTCGGATGGAAGACACGAGGACGGCGATTGAAACTTCAGGAACTCCTCGTCGGCGGAAACCTTCTCCGACAGCCGTCCGACCACCAGGATAAGTGTTTTCCACAGGGGGCGTGGCCTACCCCCAGAGACAACAAAGTTTGATGAGATGTCAAGTACATGGGTTCGGATCTTAGCATGCTTAGGAATCTGGGATACCAAGGTTGTGTAGGCCAAAACGAAACCACCACTAAACCTTCCGTGCAGTCGGTGACAATTTTTTGCAAGACTGATAAAATGAGTGAACGGAGGAAAGGCGTAAAAGAAAAATTACTCCAGTTCATCGTGAACGCGTCCATCTCTAACGCATCAGGGTCGGGATGCCACGAAACGAATTGTCTACAATTTGCATTTGCGCGACTCGCGAACAGATCAATGTCAGGGTGTCCAAAACGCTGTACGGTAGTCGTAAAGGCCTGATCAGACAAAGACCATTCGGAGCCGGACTCCGTTCGTCGGGATTCTGCATCTGCCGCAATGTTATCCGCCGACTTTATATATGACGCAAAGGGCCACAGATGTTTCTGTTCGGCCCACTGCCAAATTTCTTTGGCTAGATGGTTCAGGTGAGGATATCGGACACCTCCCATTTTATTTATGTAGGCGATGGCCGTAGTGTTGTCAACCCGTAGTAGGATGGCGCAGTCGCTGAGGTGTTGGGCAAAGTGCCTCAAAGTGCCGTAACCGCTCCCCAACCGGATCGAGAGGCGTCGGTAAAAATCACAACAGAAAAGTGAGGCCTGTGGATAGGAGCGGAAGTATTGGGTAAGGTCTGACTCCACCATTGCAGTTCCATCCTTGCATCTGCGGAAATAGTCATTTCGGCTTCGTAATTATTGCCTGAGGCGGTTAAGGCCCGTCATTTATTTCTTTTAATTTAATGCTTTAGTGTAGAGCCAACCATATTCCGTAGCAGGGCATACGGAAACCAGGGTGCCCAAAAGCGATGCAAATATCCGTATTTTACAGCACTGGCACTGTGAAAGGGTAGCTACACGCTGGGCAACGGCTGATCGCTTATCCGGTGGAAGGCTGATGGTCATTGATATTGAGTTAAAAACGAAACCCAGCAATGTACAAGTTTTGGTAGGGGTCAAGCGACTCTTAGCATAGTTTATGACAAAGCCCAAACGATTCAGAAGGGATAAGCTGGCTGTGACGTTTCTAGCGCAGCTCCCAAAACTATTTCCCATCAGTAGAAAATCATCGAGGTATACCACTGACTCGTTTCCTTCGCGTCGTAACTTTGCGACCACTGGCTTCATAAGCTTGGTAAAAGACCACGGAGCAACGCTAAGTCCGAAAGGCATCAGTAAAAATAGATAAAGTCCACTTTGGAAACGGAAACGGATATACTTTTGACATAAAATATGCATCCTTCAAGTCAATAGTAGCCATATAGCAATGGCGAGAGAGAAGACGCGTAACCGTCTTCCTGTCCTCCATCTTGAAGTGGTGCGGTACCACAAATCGGTTCAACGGTTTTAGGTTTAATATGAACCGCGAGGAACTATCTGCTTTTGGTACCAAGAAAATTTGCGAAATGAATTGGCCATCACAAGGTTCACAGGCTGCAACTGCGCCAATTCTAATCAATGTGTTAATCTCCGAGCGGAGGGCGGTGGTTTCCGCAGGGAACCAGTCCGGAGTTGACGGAATATAGGACAGAGTGGTCATTTGTTATTGTCCTCCACTCCTCCATGAAGGTGTGGAGCTCCTCTGCATATAATTGTGTGCTTACCGTAGCTACTGACGGGGCAACGCTCTGTTCGTCGCGAAGCGGTGTGTTCCGGATCGGCTCGACAATGGAGCTATTTGCGCCTGTTGGCTTTGGCGGCTGGATTTCTTTGAGTGGCCGTGTTGTGCCCCTCCGCGGCTGTGCGACTGGCGATACCGAGAGGGGCCCCTGTAGTTTAAATGTCAAACACATGTATTTTTTTGTATGGCAAATATACATTATTATTATTATTAAGAATTTGCTGAGGCAACGATTGTGTAGGTTGTTCATCTATCGCTCCCCTAATGGCGTCTGACAATTTGGAATAATTTCGAGCTTTAACTATAGTTTTTAATTCCGTGTTTCGGAGCCCATTTGCAAAAATATTGATGGCAATTTTTTCATTAGCCAATTGTAACACATTGAGCATTTGTTGATTATCGTCGGCTTGGGCCATGGTTAAACCTTCTACGATTTTACCAAATTCATCTATGGTCTTACTGTTCTGTCGTGTACCATTTAATTGAGCTAACAAAACAACTGCCGATTTTTGGACAATGAAATGTTTTTTCAGATCTGCAATTAATTCCGTGCAAGTAGCCTCAGCTGGCAGAAGTCTAATTTTTGCATTTTACGTTAAGCGCGTTTTTAATACATATGTCAGCAATAATTTTTTATCATCCCTGTCCAGCAAAGTATCGTACAAATCAGTAGCATCAATTAGGGTAAAAGACAGAGTGGTTGGCACTTTGACAGTTATTGGCATAGCCACTGCATAATAGTATATTATTATACGAGCAATTATGATAGCCATTATTCACTCGGATGACGTTTGCGTAACGAGTCGTAGGCGAACTGTTATTTTAAATTTAAAAGACACAGCATCGTAGACTGCAAAAATATTCTCAACAAAGCCGGTGTAAAGGAGCAGTTGAAATATACTGTAGCTCAATTCAAAGATTTACCACAAACCATAGAATTTTTTGAAACTCAAAACCTTCCTTTACGCTAGGTATTACCAAATTTAAAAAACCACTATTAATCAATTACAAAGTCTGTCAGATGAATTTCGTGGTCAACTTAAAACAAAAGTACAAACTGTTTTCAGCAAAAATCCGGACCTTCATATACTTATATTACAAGATTTGATTTTAACAGATGTAGACAATAATCATCCATATACACAACAATCTAAACAATATTTCGATCATCCACCTATTAGTAGCGTCAATGTTGAACGATCATTTTCATTATTCAAGGACTTATTAACATCAAAACGCACTTGTCTGACCCATGAAAATAGAAAACGATCGGTAATTATGTATACAAATTATTCACTTTTCTTGGACGGGAATCGATAAACACCAATATTTGATTTAATGGGTAGATATGATAGCGTCTTGCATTATGCTGTATCTC